CCCCAAAACCCCAAAACCCCAAAACCCCAAAACCCCAAAACCCCACAAAACATTCCTATCATTGAATAATATGCATGAAAATGTCAGGTTTACTAAGACATTATATAATGCATCACAAAGTTTAAGCAAAGCATGATTTCACAACTATCAAAGCAGACTTTTGCAGGCCAAAACATCCTCAAAGTGTAGTTCCCAAGATTCTACATCTTTACCTCAAGATTTACCATGCTTAAAAATTAGAATAAGATGGAAGAGCTGCTCCAAATTTTACAGATTTTTAATTACTTAACATAATCGACACTTGCTGAAGAATTTAGTAAATAAAACCTCATAAACAAGGCTTCAGAGGTCAACTTGTCCTACTCAGCTCATTTTCGAAAGTGTATATTATCAAGATTCAGCTTAAAAATATCACAAAGTCTTTCAAGATATGTCCGGACAAGTCTTCACCGCACCAGTAAACCTCAGTAACGCTAGCCAAGCCCGCCTGAAAATTTCCGAAATATAGCCTGAGCCCCATAAACCTATCACTACTATACCTCTATTTCCTCGAAATTATTTTAATTAGCATGAATTCTCATGATTGGCTATCTTTTAGCAAACCTAACATTTTCCCATGAGGATGCATGGGCTAATTCAAGAAATTATAGCATAACATATTTCTCCGGAATATTATTAACAACTTTTTACTCGTTTCACCGAAATATATTAAATTCTAAAATTTCACTTCTTAATAAAATTACGAAGTTTTCAACACAAAAGGAGCAAATTCTGAAGCTGTAAAAGTTATGCTTTAGCAATTATTTTTGATATTTAAAGACTAGAGCAGGTTCAGAAGCCTAATCCAGCCAGGTATTCGACAAAGCTGTCGTCTCAAAGTCACATCTCGTTGAGATCAACCACTTCGGCAGTGAAGAAGATGTTCTTGATGAAGTAATCAGCTGACCAAAATTGGCTGTAATTTGATGACTCTCTCATGCTCTTTCTATGAGTACTTCTCTCATACTCTTGCTTAATGACTGGGTCTGTCTGAACAGCTTGATCTAATGTGGGCACTGGAGCACTATTCTAAAAAGAATGAAAAATTATATCAAAGTTAGCTTAAACATCTCCTGAAAACACTCACCAGCGAATCTTGTTGTTGACTCTCAATTAAGTTTCGAATAAAGGTATTCTGTTTGAATTTGAACTCTTCACGAGTAATTCTGAGCCTTCTCTAAAGATCCATGCAGGGGCTTACCTTACGAGTGTTAGTGAACCATATTCTAACTTGCTTCTCATCAAGCCCAGTCTGATCACTAAGAGCTTTGAATTCATCCGAATTTGGGTAGGGATACTCGATATGATCCTCTATCCACTTGTTCAGCACTACTAACATATCTGTGGTGTAATAGGCTCGCTTAGACCTCCCTAAAATTAAATTAAATTCTTACTTGGGCTCCCTTCGTTCTGCTGGAGGCTATAGTCTCTATAAAAATGATCACTGAAATACTGTTTACCAGAAAAGATAAATAAAAGAGCTAAGTAGGGAGAATTTGGAATTATGACTGTAAATAATGCCTCAAAGGCACCCCTTACTCAGAGTTCCACTCTGATCCACTCATTGACTTTTTAATATTCATAAATATTATAACTTTGCTCCAAAATTTCTCTTTAAAAGGCATTACTACAGCAAAATGCTGGAGTGACAAATCCCCTGAAATTTTACGAAAATACGCCAAGATGGAGCTAATTACGCCCTAGGACCTGAACTAATTTCGCTCAGGAAAGTTTTCAAGTGCTCTAAGAGTTTATCCTAATATCTAGGATTCACCGTCTTCGTTAAAATATTCCAAAGTGCTTACAAAGAACTAAAGGGATATTGGACTTGTATCTCTAGCAATCCCAAAATTGCTCCAAAACAGTCCAAGTGGCTCAAGAAGATGGGGCGCAATAATTATTTCAGGTAATTTAAGGCCTCATTAATCGGGAAAATTGGTGATCCTCATAAATTTCCCTTTACTCTGCTAAACTTTACTGCCATCCTAGACTACCAAAGATTCAGCATTTGTTAAGAGAAACTTAAGCTCAGCACCGAATTTGTTGGAATAAAAATTCCTTAGCAAACAGTTTTTGCACAACGACAGCTAGCAACTCCAACTTCTAAGTCTGATCCTTTGCACAACTTTGTTAAGGGAGGGGTTTCAGAGATAAAAATGGGACATTAGGAACTATTCTGAATAAAAATGATTAAGCGTAACCTTAAAAATTTATACCTGACCTCAAAATTTTACGCTCCTCATATGCCAAAATCAGCTGCTATGAACAATCTAAGGACTCAAAGAATAGTCATAAAAAATCTTTCACTAAGTACGATAAGTCTCTACCGTTTTTGGTAGAGATTCTTGCAAATTGTTGAACCTAGGTTTGAACCCCAAAATTTCGCTATAAGAAATAACTGCGTATCCAAACCGTCACAAGCAAAGCTATGTGCAAGACTTGTCACTGTAACAGCCAAGTCTACAATACCAGTATTGCTCAGCTGATAAACAGCAGTGTACATAGAAACAATCCTAACTTAAAGATTCCAAGACTGGCCATAGTTTGATGTAGGCCAAATAGTTCAGACTGTACACCGACTTTAAGCAATGGAAATCAACTCTAGTCTCAACTCATGGGTACCAAAAGCAAAACTAAGAGGTGGAAGAAGAACCAATGATCTCTATTTGAAGATTATAGGTGATATTCTTACCTCCATAATTTTTTTAACCAGTTCAATACTTTTTAAGCCATCTGGGGTTTTGGGGTTTTGGGGTTTTGGGGTTTTGGGG